GTCGCACAATATTGGCATTGATTTTTGTCATCACCTGCTCCCTTGTCCCCTTGGCTGCATTCTCCTGTTGAATGTTTTGGGGAAGCGGGCACATTTACATACAAGTTACCTCTCAAGTGGCCAAGGGAGTTTGAGCACTTGCTACTCGTATCTGGTGGCAGGCATTCCAGTAGGCATACACTTTTTAAGAGCAGATCATGTCTGTACATCATAGTTTGTCTGGGGTCTTCTTTGAGAGCTCTTGAAAACCTCGAGATAGTTGGTGAACTTCCTAAGGATTCTGAATTCAAAAGGAATGCCGTTAAGTACTACGAAATGAAATTAAATCCATGTCATGGAAAAGGGAAGTCCTTCATAAGGTGCCACATCATTGTGCTGCGCGAGCTTGCTCTGGAAAGTGTTCCCTTAAGTTGCTTGGTGAACATCTGAAACTGTCCAGCAGTTGTTTGGTTGCCATTTCCTTAATATGCTTCTTACATACAGTAGCGTTAGGAAATTGGTGAAACTGAGCGCAGTACAGTTCATGCTGAACAATCACACGGTAAGTCTTAGCCTCTACTTGCTATCTCGTAACAACATGCGTGCCCAGGTTCCTGCAAGTAGGAAGGAAATGAAGGCCCATTCTCTGCTTTCATACAGGGAGGCAAGGATTTCATAGGGTGATGCCTATTATTGAGCCAACTATGTAGTTACGATAAAGTTAGACAAGCTTTCGTATGTGGACACGCTTCTTAAGCTGAACTCTCTCCCAACTCCTTCCCTCCTATGAGAGACCCAGCCTTGTACAGCTTTGCAAATCCCAGTCCTTGCTCTCTCTGCCTTCTTCCAAAGCCTGGCCTTCAGTACTTTTTTTTGTCTTGTGTTTTATATGTTACCTTTAACCCAAAGGATTCTAGCTCGTGTACAAACTTACTACAAGAATCTCTTTGCCCCTCATTAAAATGCAGCCGCATCTGGAGCAGGATGCAGGGAATTACTTTGGGCTGTTACAGTGCTGGCTCAAGAATAGTGAGGAATACTGCATCCATTTGAATTAACTGTGGAAGTCAGGGAGGCAAAATATAATAATATACTTGTGTCCTGATCTCCTTCCTGATTGATTTAAACGTTCCTGGTTTTGAAAGAGTGCCCAGGGATCTTTAATCACCCCTGTGAACAGGATCCCAGACTTGCAGCTTGGCCAACAACTGGTCTGCCAGCAGTGTAGGCTGTCTTCTGCCACTCTGGGGTGCTGACTCAGAGGAAGGACTGTCACAGTTAGCGTCAACATCTTGTATAGCTCTGCTGGTAGGTTTCTGTGGAGTTTTGCGATCACTGTGCTGGCCTGAGCTCTGGTTCACTGCTGCTTGCAGGTCTTGTGGAAGTGAACAGTCAGTAACCCTGTGAGAGCCTGTCTGCTTGTTGTTGGGTAGAAGTATTGATCACCTGATCCTTCTATACAATGGTGCTAGGACATGCAAGAAACAGACATAGTACCTTGAACAAGAGAACCAAGAGTCAGGATTCCTGGGTTCTCTTGAGCTGATAATGTCATCTTGAGCAGCTGTATTAAAGATTTGAGTTTTCCCAAGAGTAAACTCCCTCCTTCACTGGAGGAGTAGAGGGGATTCTTCATCTGTTGCTTAAGATGAAAGGTCAAGGGTCAGGCCGCCTTCCTGGTAGGTACAGAAAAAACTATATGCTACCATTACCTCTCTAGTACCGGTAATTGCACAGCACCAGTGAAAACTCCCCTTTGGTCATCTATTCTTTTATGAGTATTAGCACAACTGAGGTGGTTAGGGAGATGATCAGTCCTTCCAAAGGCCTTTCAGGAACAGAGCGTAAGTCAAAATGGTTGGGATTGCTGAGTGCCTTAATATGTGAGCCCTGTTGAGAGCCTGCCTGCTCATTGTTCACTTGACTTTGTTCTTTCCTTGACAGAGTGAGCACTTTTCATTCCTGGGCATTAACAATCAGTCCAACCTGACTGACATGAGATGTCGGACTACTTTCTACACTGCACTTGGGCGCCTTCTCATGGTGGATTTAGGTACTACCTCCAACCTTGAAGAAGCAGTGCATTGTCCTCGTCTTCACCTTTTGTGAAAAGTGTTTGGCTGACCTAGTAAAGGCCATATCAGAAACTGCAAAAACGCAATGCAGTGAGAAGCTCTGTGCCTCCTGTTGGGGGCCGAGTGCTTCCTTCACATGCAGACTTCAGAAGACCACAGAAAACTTATACTCCGCTATAACCAATCTTTTCTATGCATGAGTGGTTGGTTGCGGCATCGCATTAATCTGGAGGCATTTTGACTTGTTAAGATTAGAGCTCTGGCTGCCTTTACTTCACTCCTAGTGACCAGTCCCTACTGCTCTTTGCGCACACTTTGCTGAGGCCAGCCTGTAGGACTGACGTGGCATTTGGGTGGAAGGTGCTAATTTTGTCATGTCTGTTTTAGGGGAAGATGAGGATCAGTATGAACAATTCATGCTGCCCCTGACGGCTGCATTTGAAGCCGTGGCACAGATGTTCAGCACCAACACTTTCAATGAGCAAGAGGCAAAGGTAAGTAACAAGTGAGCAAAACCAAATCATTATAGTTAGTCGTGGCCTGGTACATTGGACAGCCACTCTTTCAGTAAAAGCCTTGTCACGTGTGACTTTAGTTAAACGTGCTTTCTAGTGTGGCTTTTTATTCAAGTATTTCAGAAAGAGCATATGATCTGTACAGGGTGGTCTCTCTCTGAGGGGACGAACAATTGCTAGAGGGGAGAGAGATCCCTAAGCATTTGGTAAAGGAAAGTCTCTCGTTTAACTTGAGTACTTCAGATGCAGTTTGTGGAATGACTATTGATGCTCACACAACAGAAGCAAAAGTAGGAGGTATTGGAAGACCCTAGAACCTTCATTGCTTTGGCTTAACTTGTGTATATTTTCTGGTGCTTAAAGAGGAAGGATCGTCTGACTTCCGAAACCAGAGGCCACCGAGAGAACTCTGCTGTTGGTGGTGGGTTGGTGGAAGCTGGGGTGATTTTGTGGTCTGGTTGCCAGTCTTAACGTGTAACATGTCCTTTTCCTCTCTACAGAGAACCTTGGTTGGCCTTGTACGAGACCTACGGGGAATAGCCTTTGCCTTCAATGCCAAGACCAGCTTCATGATGCTGTTTGAGTGGATGTATCCTTGGCATCAAGACCATAATTATCCTCCTTATGGGGCAATGAAAGAGATCCAAGTCCCTGAACCCTCCTCCCCCCAACTCCATTCACTTTGCATTTCAGTTAACCCTTTCATGGAAGTTGCTTCTGCAAATCAGAGTACTCAAGGGTCCAGGTGTACCTCCAGTGAGAGGTGCTTTTCAAGAACCCTCCATGTGGTTTGTAGCATGATGCTGTGCCCTGTTGGAGACTAGAAATCAGTTCTGAGACTGCACACTGAATTAGCAAATGGACTTATAGGAGTTGGGACTTCACGTACAGTTAGGGAAGTGCCCATCTCTTGCTCCCTAAGGTTGGCACAGGTTGGGAGGCAGCACGCTTGCCCTGGTGCCCTCATCCTGGCTGATCAGGAAGCAACATCTATGGGCTTTAGAGTTCTCTTCTTTTCCTGTTACGGAGTCTACGTGTCCATAATAACCTGGGAAGGGTGGGTACGTGCTCAGACCTTGAGTATTCTTTAGGCTGGCCTTGCAAGCAGCAGGCACGGCTGCTGAAAGACTTCAGCTTTGACTTACCATTACCACATTACACAGGCACATTACCAGCCTAATGACTGTTTAAATAGGCGCACAGGCCTTTTCTGCAGCGCCATGGCCTGACCTTGTGCATCTCTCCAGAGGCTGGAACAGGGCAAGAGTGCTGCCTTCCACTTACACTGACAGCCATTTTCTTCATGTAGAAATCAACAAGGTTCCTTAGCTTCTGTCTCGCAGCTACCCTTCCTACATGCCAATCCTCCAGCGAGCAATTGAGCTGTGGTACCATGACCCAGCCTGCACTACCCCTGTGCTCAAACTGATGGCAGAGTTGGTGCATAACAGGTATGAGACTACAGTGTCCAAAAGCTGACGGGAGTTCACGTCTGTCTGCTACCTCGCTCCTTAATTTGGGGCTTGCTAGTGTTCTGTGGTACCCAGCTGTTTTGTTTCCATTTTCGTCCCTTTACACTTAGAAGCTGCCAACAAAAACAAACGCTGTCTCTGTTGGGAAGGATATGTGTCAGCCCTGCATTGTGATTTGGTTAAACTTGAGGGCCGTCTTCCTGTACCATCTCTGTGCATGAAGACGCTAGAGGAAACCTGTGGTGTTTCTTGTGGCACCTGTTTCCAAGGCCAGTCATCCACAGCATCAGGGCACTGTGTGTTAATTTAATCACACCAAGTTAAAGTGAATGCTGCTCCATATGGTGGTCGGGTAACTGCTCCTGCGTTAGACCTGTGGCGTGCTCTGCCAGTGGATAGATACTTTGGCTTCTGGTCAGATCATTCAGAAGCTGTCTGATCTTTGGCTGGTTGTCAAACCTTGTTCGTGGAGCACTGCCCGCTGAACACAGCTCTACAGAAGAGGTTTACTAAGTAGCGTTCCAGCCATGCAGAAAGGATGCTAGACTTCAACTTGGTCACGTCCCAGTTCCCTAGGATCCATGTGGTCACGCTGTTTACCAAATCCAAAAGGTATATGTGAGAAGGGACAGATTCTACTCAGTGGCCTACTGCTACTCGGTGAGGCGAGGCAAGACAAGCAAGCTTGCCACACTTCAGCCTGCAGATCCGCTCAGCTATTGGGAGGAAAAGTGTAATGACTAAGTTTTTAAGCTCATCTGAATCATGATCAGAACTTAGCCCAGTACTCCTGAGCTGTGCTGGAGTTCCCTGTGTTTGCGTGGCAGTAGCCCAGTGGCTATTGCCAAAACTGGATTCCCAGCGTGTGGTGAATTTTAGTACTCTTAATGTGCAAAATGCAGGCCTTTTCCCTCCATAGAAACAGCATCACTCCTCTCATCTGCTGTGTCCTGACTCTGATACCAAATGGAGCAGCTGTTGCTGAACTGCCATAAACAGCCCTACCCCAAGTGATGCCCCAGCAAGGAAGATTCTCTCCTTCCTCCCTCCAATATACGTCAGCAGCTGTTGATTTGCTTGCTTTCCCCTGGCAGATCCCAAAGGTTGCAGTTTGACGTGTCCTCCCCAAATGGCATCCTGCTTTTTCGGGAAACGAGTAAAATGATAACTACGTATGGTGAGTACCCAGTGGGGAGCCTTCGTTCTTGTGACTGCCTGGAAGGCAGCTGATCCCCGGTGAGCAGGGCCTGGGGCATCTCTGTTACGGCTGGGGTTGTGAAGAGGAGTCTGGGCTGCAAGGCGGGGACAAGTACCTTGAATTGTGATCTTACTGTGCTTATGTGAAGCAGGCAAATTTGGCCTGAGGTCCTGGCACTCAATAGATGAGCAAAAGGAGGTCAGGATTTGCCAAGCTAGGGAAACCCTGCCACTGGAAATGATTAGCACCACCCTCCTTCCCCCAGCAAAGCCACGCGCTTTCTTCAGCCCTGCAGATCAGTTTGCACTCGTTTTCCAGCAGTGCAGTGTGCGGCCAGAGAAGCATTCTATTAACCAGCTTCTCCCAGGGCGTATGAGGACACAGCTTTAGAGCAGCCACAGCCAATAACGTAACCTTTGCTTTGGAAGCTGGCCCAGAGACGCCGCGCCAAACACCTCTTTCTGGTCTCTCCTCAGTCATTCCCTACAGCTCTGCTGCCTTTTTCCCCAGTCCCCTTGAGAGACAGGATGGTACAGGAGATGGCAGTGGTGCCGGTGTGTTGAGTCTGCTTCTGTGCTCCTGCAGGAAATCGTATCCTCACGCTTGGGGAGGTCCCAAAGGACCAGGTGTATGCCCTGAAGCTGAAGGGCATTTCCATATGCTTCTCAATGCTGAAAGCTGCGCTCAGCGGGAGCTACGTCAACTTTGGTGTCTTCCGGCTTTACGGGGACGATGCACTCGACAATGCCTTGCAAACCTTTATCAAGCTCCTGCTCTCCATCCCGCATAGCGACCTCCTGGTAAGCCAGCATGTCTCTGACCCAGTTGAACGCTGCATGTACACAAAAGAGTCCATCCTCTGTGTGCTGCCCTGACTGAGATGTATGCCTGTGTTGCTATGTCCAAATGGCTGTTAAGTCCCCTTGTGTGCCTCCATATCCAAAGAGCCGTGGAGTTAGCTGGGCCACATGTGGCAGTAAAGACACGACCGTTTTGATCTGGGTTTCCAGAGGGGGGAAAAAAGCCAAGGCAGGAAGAACTCGTTGCCTGTGTTTCCTGTTTTTGTGTGCAAAGAATGGCCCGTGTATCTGTGCTGAAGCTCACTCCTTACTCTGCCAAAGAGGTGTCCCTTCACCGGTCTCCTTCCCCACCCAGCCCTCACCCCCATGCACTTGGCACTCTGTTCTGCTGCCAGAACCCAGCTGCAGGCTTATGTGACAGGGGCCCGTGCAGTACTCACCATAGGGATCTCTCCCAGGGTCTCCTAATGCTCTGTGGTGCCAGCCATCATTCGGAGTTCCCAAACTCCTGAGCTTGAAAAAATATACTTGCTAGCAGGGCTCCCGCATCCTTTGTACCAGCCTTCCCCCCGTTACAAAAGTTTCTTGTTTCTCTTTCATCTCCCCCAGCTTCAGCCAGTCCTGCCAGGTTCCTGTGTGCATCACTGTCTCAGCCTTTGAAATCGGACAATGCAGCCTCTTGATGCGAGACAGGAGTGGGAGATTGAGCTGGGCTGATGTCCAGTGCACACCTTCTCTTGCTGTGTTCTCCTGCAGAGCTTTGCTTTTCTTCTTATAAGGGGCAGCCTTGATAGAAAGCTATACGTGGGTGTCAGGGAGCAGGATGGGATATTAAAAGGTGTCTCATTGAAGGAGTATCTTGGATGGATGAGCAAGCGTTAGCCTTCCCCACTGAGTCAGACCGTCCTGGGCTTCAGTGAGCAATGAAGCCTCTGATTGCAGAACAGAATCTGATGAGAAAAGTCATTGCTCCTTGCCCACACAGTTTCCTTGAGGCTCGTGGTGCCAGCTCCTCTCTCGTCGGGGACGTGGCTGCAGCCAGATAATTGCTTCCTTACCTGAAAGACGCTTCAAGCCGACAGAGCCGTTTCTTCGCTCTGTGTGGCTCCGGGCTCTGTGTCCACAGCAGCAATTAAAACGCAGCCTTGCTGTTCTGAAAGCAGCCGCCTTGCTTCTGCATAAGCCTGGTGAACTGTTTCTCTGCCCACTTGCAACGGCTCCTTTGGCACAGCCCATGCTGAAGTGTTTGGCCAGTGTCACTGCAGAGCTGGTTAGCAGGCTCCAGGACTTGCATCATTATCCAGGTCCTTCTTACTTCAGCAGGACCTGGGAGTGGTTGTAGTTGCTCCCATACTTCCAGGGAGGCTGTTCTTCCTCAGGTCTATTGCCACTGACCCACTAAAATAGGAGGCAGCACCTCTAGCGTCCGAGTTGGCCAAATAACTTGCCAAGCCAAAAACGGATGGAAGCAGAGTATGGGGAAATGGTCTGATAAAACACTGATGGAGGAAGCCTATTGGGATACTCCAAGGTGACTAGAGAGCTGGGGGTGCACAACCCATAGGTTCTCTGTGGGGGGATTGTTTTGCATAAGCTGTTTTCAAGACGGTGAAAATAAGTAATCTCCAGGTGATTGGAAATACGTGTTTAGGCTTCCGCTGCTCTGCCAGAAGCTCCATGCTCAATTCCAAACTGAACAGGAGCCCTAAACAACTCCTCTCTTTCTGCAGGATTACCCCAAACTCAGCCAGTCCTACTATTCCCTACTGGAAGTTCTCACCCAGGACCACATGAACTTCATAGCCAGCCTGGAGCCCCACGTAATCATGTATATTCTCTCTTCCATTTCCGAAGGTCTCACTGCACTAGGTAACTATCTGCCGCCTTTTGGTGCATGCAAAAAGGGCTCTCTTGAAAAGAGGAGACGAGAATGGGCTTTAGTCTACACTACAAACTTAAAGGCATCAATACCTAGTTAAGATCTATTTGCAGCAGCAGATATTGCGAGTTCATTTTAATGGCATGCCTCATCTGTGTTACGGAGGTGTTTGTGGGCTAGGAGATTATTACCCTGTATGCAGGCACTGTACACACACATGTAATACAGATGGATGTGGTCACTGCCCTGGACAGCTCACAGTTGAAATAGACCAGTGATGCAATGTATTGTGCTGTGGGGGAGTGAAACGTGAAGCAGTTCAGGGACTGAACCCAGGTTGGTACCATCCTAGATTAGTGTGTTAGCAAAGGTTAGGGTATAGGAAGATCTGCAATCTCTGAGAGTAGCTGAAGCAAGGAGCGCACATGGAGGCAGCACTGCGAATCCTTGTACAGAGGGCTGTGGCCCCTCTTTGATACCCAGGACAGGAGGAGGCATTTGTGTGATTCTGTGAACTTGAACTGTAGCTGCTGGTAGCATGCAGTAGAAAATCCAAGTCTGAAAGGTGCAGCTCTGTCCAGGACTGGGACGATGATGATACATAACATGCAGCTCCTGGAGAGCATCCCTGGTGGTTTTCAGCCCCCAACACCTTAGACTCTCAGGGTCCAGCAATCATACAGCCTGGCAGAACGAGTGCTGGCTGTGGCAGATTGGCCTTTATCAGCTTCAGGGTCAGCAGTTGGGGTGGAGTAAGGCAAAGGAAGGCCAAGGTTCTTTACAGGCACCTCTCTTGCAGCATTGAGTTCTGTCTGTGCTGAAGAGGCTGCTGGTGGGGCTGTCGTGGCGCATCGGCAGGGAGGGGTGTCACAACATGGCCCAAAGGCAGCTTTATTAGCATGCCTCCTGGCCCTCTGCAGCTTCCCTAGCCCTGAGCATGACGGCAGTCAGCATCACATAGGAGACCTAGTCTGTTAATTAGAGAAATGGCAGGGGCTGTGCAATTACCCCAACTCCCTGGGTTGTCAGCACTGATGAAAGCCTGTGCCTGCCTATATCTTGCACTCGGGGCTGATGAACTTGCCAGTTATCAGCCTGAGTGTGTGTCAGCTTGGCTGGTGGAGGTGAACGAGTGCCATGAGGCTGGCCTCTGGGAGGGGAGAAGTGCAGGGCCAGGCAAGGAGCTCCACGGGAGTCTTGGCCAGCCACTGGACCGGGCAGAGTGCTGGAGGTGTCCCAATGTGTCCCCTTCTCCTGTTCTCGCAGACACCATGGTTTGCACAGGCTGCTGCTCCTGTTTGGACCACATTGTCACCTATCTCTTCAAGCAGCTATCCCGCAGCACCAAGAAGAGGACCACCCCCCTGACCCAGGAGAGCGACCGGTTCCTGCACATCATGCAGCAGCACCCGGAGATGATTCAGCAGGTAAAGAGCTGAGAAGGGAGATACCGGGGGGCCACGCGTAGGGGGTGCACACGCACCCCCTGAGCATGGTGGTGCACCCCCTACAAAAAGGTGCCACCAACGCTGCTGGCAGCGTCTGCGGGTGGTTGCCGACCCCCGGTCAGCTCTCGCCACCCTCCCCCACCACCGACAGCATCTGTGGGAGCTCCCCTGCTTTCCACTGCCGTGCTCCTGTTGCCGCTGCTGTGCCCCCCCGAGCTGCCGGGGGCACGCTTCATTCACGGGAGATATGGTCCTTACATCATGAGCACATGACGCTGAAGCACTTGTCGTGCAGTCCCCGGTCTCCTCCTGCAGGCACTGTCGCTTTCCCCAGAGCTGAGCTCCAGGGGAGCTGAGGCACTTAACTGATGTCAGAGGGAACTGGAAACCCGTGGCTTATGCTGTAACTCCATGTTTATCACGTCCCAGAGCTCTGAACTGGGAACCGCCCTGGGACTGATGCCTGGGGCCAAAGTTCTGTGCATGCAGCATGGGGCATTTTGCACCTACACTCTGAGCAGGAGGAGCCCAAAACTTGGAACCTTCCTTAATATTATTTTTTTCAAAAAACTACCCCATTTGCAGTCCCCTCTTGTTGGGACTTGCTGGAAGCCTGTCAAGATGAAGCCAGGAAATACATCTGCCACCCAGTAGCATGCAGTCATCCTACGTACGTACCAGTTGAGGAGCTGAAAAGCAGGAGCGTGCATGTGTGTGTACGCTTCTGGTTGAACACAGCAGTGTTGTGCCAGAGCTCAGTGAGGCAGCCATCGGATTCTCCCTGATCTCTCCAGTAAGCAAGCACTCTGCCTACCTTGGCTCTTCTGCTGTATCCACTCAAGAGCTCTGCTTATTCCCTTTTCTGGAAAGTGGCACCTCAGCGCTGCTAACGCCTGGATCTCATGGGTGCCTCTGCAGGATGAACTCAATAACCGGGTTTTGCATTCCTGACAGCCTCTCGCCTCTGGTGTACGTGGCTGGCAGGTTTTCTTTCTCTTTTGCTGGTCCTGATCATACAGTGCGGGACCTGCAATGTGAGCTGGAAGACCAGATATGCTACAGTCTTATGGGTAATAGAGTCAGCTATGCAGTCAGCTATGACCCCTTGGAGGAGCGCATGCTGGCAGATTTGACGCACATTTCTGGGGCAGGAGGAAAGTTGGCTTTGAGGGAGCAGCCTGACCCTCTTGCTTTCCCATTATCTTTCCAGATGCTGTCAACAGTGCTGAACATCATCATCTTTGAGGACTGCAGGAACCAGTGGTCCATGTCCCGACCTCTACTTGGCTTGATACTTCTCAATGAAAAGGTAAGCAGGCCCGACTGCTCTCAGCAGACCAAGCTGACCTTTTAGTTGAGAGAGACCTCTGGAGTTGGGGCAGAGTCTGGTGTCCTGCAAGCGACTGGGAATTGCACTGGCAGAGTTGGATTCAGATTCAGGGGAGCCGGGATGGCAGTGCAGCTCAGGTTGGCAGTGTCCTACCGTGCTGAAGGGAAAAGCTTACGTGGCATTTGCTTGGCACGCCCTCAGCTCCAGCAAATCCTCCAGTTACCCGTTTACCCGAGTTCTAGAATATGCAAAAACCAAAGCTGCGCACATCTTGCTTCCCCTGACAAGACAGCTGGCTCAGCACTCAGATGGCTCACCACCACTTTCCTGTTTCCCCAGTACTTCTCAGACTTGAGGAACAGCATAGTGAACAGCCAGCCCCCGGAGAAGCAGCAGGCCATGCACCTCTGCTTCGAGAACCTCATGGAAGGCATTGAACGCAACCTGCTAACCAAGAACAGAGACAGGTTGGTATAGAGAGATCGGCCTGGGAGGTGGCATCACACAGTACTGAGCCTGTAGCTCTGCTTAATGAATGAATGCAGTCTGCTGAGACTTGCAGTCCCTGTTTATGGCAACATCGTGGGCTAGGATTCAAGTATGTGGCCTAGGATAAGGCGTCTGACACCCCCGTATCGGCGCCGGCCGGCCCTGTTCTAATACGTGCTGGTCTGTGTTCCCGTAGGTTCACCCAGAACCTGTCGGCATTCAGGCGGGAGGTAAACGACTCTATGAAGAATTCCACCTACGGCGTGAACAGCAACGACATGATGAGCTGACGTCTCGCACCATCACCTGTACAGAGCAGCATCTCTTTGGCCTGGACCAGAGGGGTTACCGTTTCCGATGGAAAGAAAAGAGGGCGTTTCTGATCCCTGCTCTTCCCTCGGGTTGGACTGCGGCGCTCAAGCTCAGCCGTACTCCACGTCCAAGGGAGGAGGGAACAGGAGGGGGGTGTTCAACTCGCCAGGGCAGGGTGCTTCCGTTTCCTTGGGAGGGGTGGAGGGGGCATGACCCGGGTGCGAGAATCCAGCGTCTCCCTACCAGAACGTCTGCGTGGAACCCTAGCGCTCTGCTGCAGCCTGCCTTGTATAAACATGTACATTTTTTCATAACATTTTGAACAAGGTTTATATTGATTCAAGTTTAAAAAAAAAAAAAAAAAAAAATAAGCGTGACTGAAATTTTTACGGAGTCTAGTGCACCAATGCTGCCGTGAGGGTTGCGTATGCGAGTGAGGAAGATGCGTCTCCTGCTGGCTTGAAGCTTTACTTGGGTGAGGGGGTGTGAAAGTGCAGAGATATATTTAGTGACACGTGTAGAGAGAAACAAAAACCACAAATGGCGGGGAAAAAAAAAGAGAGAGAAAATGTAAAATTCCAAATGTATATTTTTTTTTTCTTATAAGCCCCTTAAAAATCACGACTTCCTGTTACTGTCTCACCCTTGTTATTAGGAACTCGAAGCCATGCTGCGTGATCATTCATCTGTGCTAGCTTGTGGGTGTCTCCTCCCCCAGTGTAATGGTAGATGCTGTTCCCATTGTCAGTCAGCTTCTGGTAGGGCCTTCGCCACCCAGCGTTGGTGCATTTGGCGAGTTGTTTCTTTCAGTAAGGGATCCTTCTCCCCACCCCCATCTGGCCCCACCCTGGGAGGAGCACTGCAGTGAGGCTGTCTCACCTACCTGCCAACTCTTCTTCTTTCCTTGGTTTTCTTTCTTTCCGCCCCCACCTCACAACCTCTGTCAAGCAGAAAGCGTGTGGAACAGATTGAAGGCCTTGGGCTGAGCTTTTCCTATGCCTTGCCAGTGCAAGACCTGCACAGCCTTCCCGCGGGGTGCCACGTGTCCATTTTCAGACACGCATGTGCTCGGGAGCATGATGCAGCCAGGGTCTTGGAGGGGGGTTTGTATTGAATTTACCACCGTGGAGGGTTCTTAATAACAAGGTCTGCCTAGCATGAGTTATTTAACATCCCCCTTTAAAAACCAGTCTGTTTCTCTAAATCACCCTAATACATGTTTTGGATAGAAAACTTAATTACAAAGGAACGTGTAACTGGGGAGTGGGAAACCTGTTTGCCTTGTACTTTCTCCATTACTGTTGCTGCTAGTTGTATGCATCTCTAGCTCAGCTCTAACCCACAGCCACTCAGTCCTTTAGGTTTGGTTTCAGTTTCTCTGCCCGTACACCACCTACTCTGAATTTTTCTTTTTTTTTAATCTCCTTTCCTCTGGCGATTGTGTGTTGGGTCCTTTTTCGCGTGAGCAGATCGCTGGTTGACTTGTAAGGGTGTTTGCTGCATACAGTGTAAGCATTGTGACTGCAAATAAACTTCAATGGTTTCTACTGAATTGTGTCTGCTGTTTGCAGAGGCCACTTGTCTCACTGATCGTCTCAAAAACCCACTCCTAATGTTCCTCTTCACAGGGTTCTGCCGCCTGGACTGGGGCCTGAGGCACTGCAGCAGCTTGCCATGATGTATGGGTAAAAGCAGTGTTACTGACAGACAAGGTTCTTGGGGTACATGTGGTATCTTTTATTCGACCAACTAAATATGTGGAAAAATTGTTCTCTGCAAGCTTTCAGGCACAGGGAGTCTGCATGGGTGTTACTGGCAGGACAGGGTTGTATTCTAGACTTTGTTGGACAGTGCCATCAGGCCTAGGTGCTTGGCCTATGATTGCAGATTATTCAGCTGTGCCTCCACTTCCCTGTCTTGGAGGTATCAGTTGATTATCTGAAACATTTTAATAAACTCTGTTCCTTAACACTAAAGACCATGAACTCATAACTTGAACTGCTTTGAAACTATGGTTTGAACTTAAACCACGACCCAGAAAGAATCTCTGCAGCTGATTTGACAGCAGAGCAGTTTGGTTTCATTTTCATTCTGAATGAGCAACCCTGCAACTTGCCTCCAGCTCAAGTGCATTCTTCAGTGTTCGCATAGGACACAGCTCTCCTGCTCTAGCTAGCTCTTCCGCATGAGCAGCCCCTCCAAATCTGAAGGGCTTTGCCAGTGGATTTAATATTCAGGGTCTTCTGGTTAGGGATGCCTCTGACCACGAACTAGATGCTGAGGAAACCTGTACAAGATTCACTTGATTGTGCCTCAGTGTGAAAAAAGCCTCAGGGAGGCAGGGGACAAAAGGCCTGAACTGATGTGCAAACACAGGGCCCTAAGTTCTTTAGCCCACTCCTTTCCTTTGAAAGACACCAAAGCTAGCAGCAGCTACTGTGTCCAGGCAGTATCTTCCCTTATTGCTTTCATCTCTAATGAAGAAAAGGTGGGTGGGAGGAAAAAAAAACCTGAACAGAACTCATCTAATAATGAAATAACGCCCAGAATGGCAACTGGAGATGATAATGGACACTTGTGGTTTATTGTTACAAACTGATTAACTTGCAGTATATCCCAGTGACATGGGAGGCTTGTCAAGCCTAGGAAGAGCTACGCTGGAGAAGAGCAATGCTCCAGGGAGATGCAATACCTTGTGAAAAGTTCTTCCTCTGTTTTCAGAGTTAAGGCCGCTAGCTCCCAGGTTATAGGTGCAAGGTGCCAGGGGATGCTATTCTGTGCTTCCACCACCCTGCTGTATGTAGCAAGATTTAAGTCATAACCACTTATTGACAGGGCCCTCACTTTAGTTCACTTGAGCACCATAAAAGCACAGCAAAAGCTGATCTCTAAGCTAAGTTCCCCTCCAGTTGCTGCGTGTTTGTGTAGCTCCAGAGCAACTGTTAACACTCCTGCAGCAGGGAGCGGCCCTGTCCAGTGTACAGAAGGGGTTGGTTCTATCCATGCTCACAAGCTGCCTTCTCTGCAGCAGCCATTTTCCTCTGGGTGGCTGAGTTGTAGATGACATTGTTGTAACCCTCTCTGTTTCGAGCTATTTCAATGGCAAAAAATTGGATCCTGGTGGCTAAAAGGGGGAGAAAATAAACATATCCTTATAGCAGTTCTGTGGCTTAACATATTTTCCCCTCCCACCAGCTCTTGCAAGCTTCTACTACTGCCCCCTTCATGCATGGATGTGCAGCATTTTTAATCCAGAAGGGAGCTGCTCCAAGACTTAAGGCTCTAGGTATGGCAGGGCACAGCTGCTTGTGCAACAGTTACCCCTTAAAATAGCCACTTTTGGCGGGTTAACCAGCAAAGCAGACAATCTATAACTTGGTACTGAGGCTGAGTCTAGGTTCAGTTCAGCATCTGAGGAACAACTGGGTTTTCGTGTGTTGACATGACAATTTTCTTAAAGACAAGGCAAATCAGCTAAATCCATTCCAAATCTCAGAGTCATGCAAGAACCATATATGGCCCTACTACAGGCAAGCATCCTCCACCGGTGCCTGAGGCTTCTGATGTTTCCAAAACCTTCGGTGGGCATCCTACACGCAGGCCCCAAGGCTGGAGGCTCAGAGTTTGGATAGCCCTGAGTGTTGCCTGCCCTCAGCCACATGGCCACAGAAGCAAGCTAGGGAGGACCCAGTGCTCTATTTAGAAGTGCCACATAGAAATTTGCACCTGCTTTCTGCATGGGCAGGCCCTTCTCTCAGGTTGTACGCGGCGATTTGCTCACCAAATATCGTATTCTCTTCCGTGTAGTCTTTGCTGCAGTCCAGCCGCAGCAGGGTGCCATAGTTGAAGTCTTCGACGACCCCCTCAAACTGCATACAAAACGGACGCCACTTCTAGAGACAGAAGAGCCGGGGCTGTAAACTTCCCGCCAGCTGGATGAAGCGGGGCCCCTGTTCTCAGCCCTCAGATGCCATGACCCCGAACCCGCCTACTGCTCACAACGCCTCGCCCACGTCTGGGAGAATAACAAGTGTGCCGGTGAAGCCAGAAAGCACCCGCAGTCAGGAATCCCTTCATGGTGAGCGTGGCTTTGTCATCCCACGCCAAGACCCACATAGTGCTTCCCCCCTCGAGCCGCCTCCCTCCTTCCAGCCCAAGACTTTCCCCAGGGGAGACGCCGCATCCACTTTGCAGCCTTTCCGGAGCACCGACCTCCTTGGCCGGCTCCGATTTGAGCTCCTCCGGCTCCAGCACGTCGATCCTGAGGTGCCTGAAGCGCTCCCGGAAGGCGGTGTAGATCTCCTCGTCCACCTTGGTCAGCTTCAGAAACGTGGGGTCCACCGAGGAAATGAGCTGGTGGGGGGGAAAGTGGAGACAACCCGGCGCCAGGCTCCTGGGTCCCGAAAGCTAAGAGCAGCAGCGCACTCCACCCCCCTCCCCCGGCGGGAAGCAGGCAGCCCGGCCCGACCCCGCACTCACGTTGAAGTAGACCTCAGCGTGTTGCGCTGCCTTCATGGCCCACATCATCTCCACGCCGGGCTGCGGGGACGGGACGGGATGGGACAGGTAAGGGTGTGCAGCATGCCCGGCCCCGGCCCCGGCCCACCCCCGCCTGGCTACTTACGTCGTTGCCGTAGGCCTCGGCCGGCAGGGACAGCGCGCGGGCGGCGGCCGCGGCTCCGCCGGGGCCCTGCGAGGAACAAGACACGGTGGGTCAGGCGGGCCCGGGCGGCCCCGCCACCCCCTCCCCCAGCCCCGCCGGGCCTCACCAGGGCGCCCAGGCCGCCGCCGGCAGCCGCCATGTTGCCTGTGACCCCTGACCTTTGCCCCGCCTGCTCTGGGGGTTCGCTTCCGGCCGCGCCGGAAGCTGCCTGTACCGGGGTTCCATGGTGGGGGAGGGAGCGGGGGGCATGCGGTGCGGCCCTGGGTCCGGCCGGTCCTACCGCACCGCACGGCGCTCAAGCTACACTGCACTGTTCGCACGCGGTGCTGCATGGCTCCTACATTGCGCTACACGGCTCTGAAACCACTGCATGGCTCCCACACTGCATTGCATGGCTCCCAGACCACTGCAGGGCTGCCACGCTATACTGCATGGCTCCCAGACCACTGCACAGCTCCCACGCCTTATTGCATAGCCCCCATGCTGCACTGCAAAGCTCCCAAACCACTGCAGGGCTCCCACGCCTCATCGCACAGCTTCTGTGCTGCACTGCACGGCTCCCAAACCACACTGCGCAAGCCCAGGCCGTGCCCTGTTCCTGGGGCTGCCCCACAACCCTTGGCCCCTGACCCAGCCCCGTTCTCGATGAGAGCGCAGTCGACGCGTGTATGTGCAAACGAAACCACGAGGCCCCTGGAGCTGGCCACGCCAGGGGACGAAAGCCCGTGCCAGGAGCGGGGGCCGAACGGATGTTGTTTTCCAGCTTCTGGAAGGCATTGGCGAGCACCGAAGCTAAGCAGGAAAACGGGTGCTCTGAACGAGGCCTTAGCCCAGCTGTGCAGTCGGTCCAATAAAGATGCCGCCCACAAAACCCCCTGCTTCTCTGCGGCACGCAACAGCATCTTTTTCTGGATCTGGATTATTCTGAAGTGGGTTTGAAAAGGGATTAGTCAAAATGCTGGAAGGCCTGCCTGTTGGGATTAAACCAGTCGGGGATAGGTCCTCTCACATTCCCAACCCAGCGAGGAAGTGACAGGGCACAGATCACTCCTAAGTCCTAATGTTTTTGTCAGATCATAAAAAATTGTGCCCGTCAGGCCAGGCCTCTCTTGGCCCGCTCTCTGATACCACATAAGCCAGCACAGCCTTTTTCATGGTCAGGTTGTCGGCGACTAAACTGGTGCCCCCACCTGGGCTGGCCTGGGTGAGGAAGGTGTGTCGACACCCAGCAGGACTAAAAACAAGCGCTGTCAATGGGCGGATGAGCTGCCTGTGAGCTGATGTCCATCCACTTCTGGAGAGGAGATGGGTGCTGCCAGGTCGCTCTGCCCGAAGACTCGCGGACGATGCACACTCATGGGAGCGGAGGAGGGTTGTTGCAGCCTCTAAGGTGCCCCAGTGGTCGCAACAGCCTCGGGACTGACTTGACTTGATAGACAACCCCAGAGAAGGGCCGGAAGGGACCTCCGGAGGTCATCTCGTCCAACCCCTGCCTGACCCTATGCCAACCACCGCGTATAAACCATAATGTAAACTCGACATCAAGACTGACGCAACACAGACCCAACCTCACACAACCACAGGGCAAGCGGGGGAATGGGTAGTGCGCTCTAAAGGGAAACTAAGGATAACCCAAGCCCCACAGCTTGCAGTCTGATTGTGGTCATTGCCATTTGTTTGTGGAACGGCAGGGTTACAACCGAGATCGTTGCTCCAGGGTCTGTATGGAAGTGTCCGGCCCTGCTTGGTTTAAAGTCCCAACTAGCTGGACAGCCAAGGGGGAAGGGGAAACTGAGGCATAGAGGAAGGAAATGAATGACTCAGGACTATCCAGCAGCTCAGTGGCAGAGCCAAAGATAGCACTCAAGGCTCCCGAATCCCAGTTCAGT